CAAGGTCCCTTCCAACTCTGTTATTCTATTCTATTTACAACTCTAAGATGCTTTAGCGAATTCTTTCAATAATTAGCAGGGTGAGGTTTACTAAATTGGGGGCATGTTTTGACCACATAAGAACATTCAGTCCCATAAAGATGCTCCCAAACCAAGAACAGACGCCTCCTTTGTGAATTATGCACCAAACTGATATAATAAAGCAATAAAAGAGATTAATCTATAAGGTGATAGGTGACATACCAAGCTGAAGATGCTTAAATTTGGGGCTCTGAGCCGATGCACACAGCTGATAGAATATGTGATAATTTCTTTCATTTTCTGACTGCAAATGAAAAGAAAAGGAAGATTAAAACTAGAGATAGTTTGGATGTTTTGCTGACAGAAGAAAGGAATGAAATGTTGATTTATGGATTTGACGATTAAGGAAGATGTAAATTAAATGAAAGGCTGAATGGACCTGTGTATTATCTAAGAGGAAGGAGGGGCTATAAAATTGTAATTATCTACTGAAAAAAAGATCAAAAGTCATATTTTTATAGGATTTTTTCCACCTCCTTTTCATTTCTTGAGTGACCTACCTTCCTTCCTTCCTTCCTTCCTTCCTTCCTTCCTCCCTCCCTTCTCCTTCCCTCCCTCTAGCCTCCTTTCTTCTCTCTATTCTTGTTCCTTCCTTCCTTCCCTCCCTCCCTCTCTCCTTCCCTCCCTCTCTCCTCCTTTTTTCTCTCTATTCTCCTTCCTTCCCTATTTCCTCTCTCCCTTTTTTTGCTTTGTCTTTTAACCCTTTGATTTTTTTTAAAAAAAGAATGAATATAAATAAACAAACAACCTTGAAATAATTTCAAAAGTTAGAGACAGAAGGCCACCCAAGTTTCTGTGATGTGGGTTATTCAGAAACGGATGTGAGCAATGCCGTGGGAAGCTTCTAAAACTCAGCGGCCTTCCCCAAATTTAACCAATTGCTAAGTGGTGCAACCTGCCAGTCTCTGAAACCAAAGGGGCTTTGAGTTTTAGCCAAAGCTCTTGCTCCGATGATGTTTTTTTTACTTCTGAGTTGAAAAACAAGAGGAAGCGCCTTGAATTATTCTATTTTAATAAAAAATGCCTCTGAACAATGCTGGAAATTGCACACAGAAACCCCCACAAGCAATTTTGTTCTCTTTCATTCTTATTTTGTTCACAGGAAGAAGCAGAACATTTTAAAAAACTTTTAAATAACTTTTACAAATTTTAAAAATGTTTTTAAAAATGTACAAGTTTTTTGCAAAAGGCCAGCTTCGAAACAACATTGCCCCTGAGCATCATGTTCGGTGGTGGGTTTCACTTATTTTTTACCACTGGTTCGCGCAGATGCTCGCCATCAAGCCACGCCATGCCCACCAAGCCACACCCACAGAACCAGTAATAAAAATGTTTGAATCCCACCCACAATCTCCGCTACCAGTTCACCCAATCTGGTCCGAACTGGCTGAACACCACCTCTGATCATGCTGGCTAGAATAAACCTTGAGAGCAGCTGCAGAAGGGAAGATAGATTGCTGGGTCTGAAGTTAGTAGAAACGCACAGATTTCACTGCCAATTCTTACTAACCTGAAAAACAACTCTAGATTTTTCGAGCAGGTATGTCCTCATATTTGCCCCAATGATCTGGTACTTCCTATCAAAACTGATCTCCATGTATTTTCCAAAGCGGCTGCTGTTGTCGTTGCGAGTCGTTTTAGCATTTCCAATCGCCTGCACAAAAGAAAAAAATTGTTTTAAATCGGAAGTGGCTATTTCTATTAGACGGTTCAGCCAGGAAACATTTAGAGAGTCCATTGGGTCTGTTGGTTAAGTTAGAAAGTAGGTGATGGTGAATTCTAGTACCGCTTTAGGCATGAAAGCCAATGGGATATCTTTGACCCAATCACGAGATAGTGAGTTCTAGTCCTGCCTTAGGCAGGAAAGCCCGCTGGGTGACTTTGGGCCAATCACCAGGAGTTGATGAGTTCTAGACTCACCTCTAGCAGGAAAGCTAGCTCGGTGACTTTGGGCTCAATTATCAGGAGACTGTGAGTTCTAGTCCAGCTGCGGCCATGAAAACCAGCTGGGAGAATTTGAGCCAATCCCCAACCCACCTCACCAATGTTAAGAAAATTGGAGAAAGGAGGAATACTACTACATTCAGCATCTTGAGTCACCTATAAAGTAATAAAGATGAGATAAAAATCTAATAATAAAATAAAATAATTTACCTCAGTTATCGGATTGCATGCCAACACTTTATCCTCAACTTTAGCGTTGCTACTTGATTTGCTGACCGTCGCAAAATATCTCATGGCGTATCGAGCAGAAACTGTTTTGCCAGCTCCCGATTCCCCACTTACAATAATCGATTGATTTCGGTCGTTCCTAGAGAAGATCATATCGGCGTCATCCCCACCAGCACCACCATCATCAAAATAAGGAAGTTAGAAAATATATTCTTCGAATACCATGATGTTTCTTTTACATTAGATTCCAACTTGGTCTCAACCACGATACAAAGATATTTTCAGTGTGTCTGATATAAATCTTAAAAAATAGTTCTGGGCTTCAGTGGTGGGATTCAGCCGGTTCGCACCTATCCGGGAGAACCGGTTGTTAACTTTCTAAGCAGTTGGGAGAACCGGTTGTTGGAAGAAATCTCCTTTGGTTTTTCTCCACTTTACAGGACTAATCCTGTAAGGAAGGCAGGAAGGAAACATTCTGGTGTTGTTTCTAGCCTAATCTTTATCTGAAGAGCCAAGGTGGCGCAGTGGTTAGAGTGCAGTACTGCAGGCCACTTCAGCTGACTGCTATCTGCGGTTCAACGGTTCAAATCTCACCGGCTCAAGGTTGACTCAGCCTTCCATCCTTCCGANTAGATAGATGATTGATTTATTGATTAGATAAGATATAGAGATATAGATAGATAAGAGATATACATATAGATAGAATGAATATAGGTGATAGAGATAGATATACAGATAGATATAGATAGATGATAGAATGAATATAGATGATATAGATAGATAGATAGATAGATAGATAGATAGATAGATAGATAGATAGATAGATAGATAGATAGATAGATATGGATGTAGAGTTGGTAGACAGACTTTATTGTCGCTTTCAATGTACACTAATCCGCATACATTAAAATGAAATTCGGTTGCATACAGCTCTCAAAGGGTCACAACCTCCAATATACACCACAGAAGACAAGTGGCCTCTCTCAACAGCTGGCCTATCACCTCCCCCGCCACTCCCACTCCCCAGCAAACTGGTAGAAAAAAGTATGCATGTTTTTGAGTTGCCCAGAACCATCACGTCCGACAAGTATCCAAAATTAGTCCAGATGTTCCAGATACCAAATGTGTAGGTTCCTGTTAGCCTAAAAGCCATCTTGGGAACAAACTGGAAGGTGAACTGAATGTGAGGCTCTCTGCTGGATTTGGAGACACACTTCATTAAAAAAAAAGGCCATTTTCACAATATTTTTGTGTACTTTTCAATGTAGAAATGCTCGGGGGGGGGGATGCAAGTGATGGCATTTTGGAATATAGGACTTTTTAAAAGCAACGTTAAAGGGTATTTTCATAAGGTATGTGCTAGTCGTTCCTGACTCTAGGGGGCGGTGCTCATCTCCGTCAAAGCCGACGGGCCAGCGGTGTCCGAAGATGTCTCCATGGTCATGTGGCTGGCAGGCGCATGGAACGCTGTTCCCTTTCCACCAAAGGTGGTTCCCATTTTTCTACTTGCATTTTTAACGTGCTTTCGAACTGCTTGGTTGGCAGAAGCTGGGACAAGTCACGGGAGCTCAATCCGTTACGCGGCACTAGGGATTCAAACCGCCGACCTTTCTGATCGACAAGCTCAAGAGTTTTAGCCACTGAGCCACCCGTCCCATCAAAGATTTTCATAGGGGCAGCCATTTATACAACAACAAACTTCCATACAAGAGACTGGGAAGAAAAAAAAAATGAAGACTTTTTAGCGTTTCCTTTTATTTGGACATTTCTTCTAAGATACAACATTTATGATGCATACATTTATTAATTATTTCAGACACCATGACAATTCCAAGCTTAAGTCATTCGGATTAACATTTTGGTTTTTTCTATCTACGCCTAGTAGTGGGTACAAGACCTCAAAACCCTGTTGTTTTTTTGCTTCAAAAGGAATTGCAAGTTTCAAAGGACAATGATCAAGCGATTACAAAAGAAAAAACAAGAAGTTGAAATGTGTCCAGTTTTGAAAGTCTCAAAAGGAAAGGGGGGAAAAAAAAGGGATACAGCGGGTGGAGACAGCAAACTAACTAAAGAGCGTTGCTTTGAGACAGAAAAAGGGGGTTTGGGGATCAAAAATACTCTGTATCCGTGTGTAGACCTGACATTATTATTATTTTGCTTTGTGGGTGAGATTGGATGTTCTGGGACAACCTGCCCCACGAAAGCTGACCTCTTTGTACACCAGCAGGAAAGACCTGTTATGAATAGTGCAAATTTATTGTGACCAATGTTTTGACGCACAAAAGCGATAAATCAATGCCCCCAGCCCTCTTAGGATATTCTGCGAGTGGGCACTGAAAAACGAACAGGTCCAGCCACAAGCAAAAAAAGAAGCTGCATGATCAAAGCAAGGGTGTTTTGAATACAGTGCATTTAATCCTTACTTGCCATTTTCTTAGGGGCTTTTAAAAACATGCCCAGGATTGCAACGCTCCACAAAACCAAAATTGTTGAAGACTAAGCGAAAAACGTTCTTCCAATTGCCAAGATTACACTGTAGAAACAGTTGGAAGAAAAGCGAAAACGATCTGAAACTTAAATGAGGTAATATTGGAGGAATATTTTTGGGTCTTATACATTTCGAAAGCAAATTGGGGGGGGGGGAGGACGGGAAATTATAGCGTATCAGTTAAAAATAAGAGAGACGGCAACACGTCCACATGGAAACAACATGATCGTGTTTTAAAAGGGTGGGAGGGAGGAATAAGCAAAACTCGAATTGTGTTAGACGCTACAAATTCTAACTTGAAAACAGCCGGTTTTCTAGCATGTAACATATTAGACCCATAGAAACTGCACGTAAAATACTGATGTGNTGGAACTTTAAGGATCGTTTTGCCTTGGACTCTGATTTAATTCTACATGATACTTAGACGCTGACAAGGTCATCTAGTCCAACCCTCTGTCCAAGCAGGAGATCCTGTTCTGACCAAGGCTTCCCGAGAGCATGATGCAAACTCCTGGTCGCGACAAAACCCCCTTTGATTAATTGACTGTGAATTCTGCTCATTCACATCCAGCAAAGTCTTTCAAGGGAGGATTTACAGTCACAGACCTTATCTGGCTTGGAATGCTGACAGACCGATATCTACAAAACTTGGCCAGGAGTCTTGGAGAGTCACGAACCAATTAAGGGAACTAATTGTGCCCATTGCACTTATGACCACTGCAGCATCCTAGGGATCCTGTGGTCCCATTTTGCGACATTCTGACAAGCAAAGTTAATGGGAAATCCAGACTCACTTAACGACCGGGTTACGAACTTAACACATGAAATGACCCACTTAACGATTGTGGCAAAGGTAGGTGGTAAAATGGGGCAAAACTCACTTAACAAATGTTTCACTTAGCAACATAAATGTTGGGCTCAATTGTGGCCATAACTCGAGGACTACCTGAATACGCTACCTATTTACCACTGTTCTAATGGTCAAGGCAAATTGATGCTAGATAAGAGTCAACAAAATTCACAGAGGGCTGGACTTAGGTCTCTTATGACTACAGAAGGATTCCAAGGGGATGACAAGCTTGACCCCGCCTTCAGGATCTGCCCAGTCATCTTTTACAACCCCATAATCTCTTATTGACTCTAAGAGTCTCTTTCTACATCCTTCAAAGCTTATAGGGAGGGGTTGGGAGGGGCCAACCTTCGCCAAAGTTTATCCCAGGACACTGATCAGAACATACCTTGCCATCTGCTTGTAAGCCTCTTCTGCCACCGCAAAGATATGGGGATCCATATCTCCCATATTTTGACCACTATAAGCATGAATGATAGCATCCCCGTAAATTGGCAGCTCTTTGTAAGGGTTCATGGCGACCAAAATTATCCCTGGGGGATGACACAAAGTAGAGAATTTAAAGTTGCGCCAGTTGCTTTCTTTAGAATCCCGAGTGCAATGTGGATTGACCCATAGTATTTACCGCTATAGGTGTAGATCAGCCTGGACTCCACAAAGCGAACCCTAAGGTTGTGCAAAACGGCCGGTTCATGGAGGTAGCTAAGGGCTGTGAGGTCATTTTCTCCGACGAGAATGTCCGGATTTCGTAAAGGGGGCAAAGCAGAAGGCTCCACAGGGTAATCCACCTCCTGTGAGGAAGCCAAGCAAAAAAATAATATTATGAGATGCAGAATAACAAAGTTGGAAGGAACCTTGGAGATCTTCCGGTTGTTCAAGCTCTTCTAAACAACCTCCAGCATTCACAACCTCTGCAGGCAAGTTGATCCACTGATTAATTGCTGCCACTCTTAGGATAGCAATAGCAATAGCAGTTAGACTTATATACCGCTTCCTAGGGCTTTCAGCCCTCTCTAAGCAGTTTACAGAGTCAGCATATTGCCCCCAACAACAATCCGGGTCCTCATTTTACCCACCTCGGAAGGATGGGAGGCTGAGTCAACCCTGAGCCGGTGAGATTTGAACAGCCGAACTGCAGAACTGCAGTCAGCTGAAGTAGCCTGCAGTGCTGCATTTAACCACTGCGCCACCTCGGCTCTATAAATTAGGAAATTTCTCCTTAGTTCTAGATATAGAACTAAATATAGGTAAAGGTTAAAGTCCCCCTTGCACATATGTACTAGTCGTTCCTGACTCTAGAGGGCGGTGCTCATTTCCGTTTGAAAGCCGAAGAGCCAGCGCTGTCCGAAGATGTCTCCATGGTCATGTGGTCAGCATGACTAAACGCTGAAGGCGCACAGAACGCTCTTACCTGCCCACCAAAGGTGGTTCCTATTTTTCTACTTGCATTTTTACGTGCTTTCGAACTGCTAGGTTGGCAGAAGCTGGGACAAGTCACGGGAGCTCACTCCGTTACACGGCGCTAGGGATTCAAACTGCTCAACTGCCGACCTTCTGATCGACAAGCTCAGTGTCTTAGCCACTGAGAGACTTCATCCCTAGAACAAAGTATACTATACAGGTATAGCATCGGTGGTACCGGGCCAAGAGAAGTAATTGTGAGAGGGATCTTGGAGTCTTAGTGGACAATCACTTAAATATGAGCCAGCAATGTGCAGCAGCTGCCAAAAAAGCCAACATATTCCTAGGCTGCATTAACAGAGAGGTAGAATCAAGATCACGTGAAGTGTTAATATAACTTTGTAAGGCCTTGGTAAGGCCACACTTGGAATATGGCATCCAGCTTTGGTCGCCATGATGTAAAATACTCCAGGAATTGGGTATGTCTAGTTTAATGAAAAAAAGGACTAGGGGTGACATGATAGCATTGTTCCAATATTTGAGGGGCTGCCACAAAGAAGAGGGAGTCAAGCTATTCTCCAAAGCAACTGAGGGCAGGACAAGAAGCAATGGGTGGAAACTAATCAAGGAGAGCAGCAACCTAGAACTAAGGAGAAATTGCTTCACAGTGAGAACAATTAACCAGTGGAACGACTTGCCTCCAGAAGTTGTGAATGCTCCAACACTGGAAGTCTTTAAGAAGATGTTGGATAGCCATTTGTCTGAAGTGGTGTAGTGTTTCCTGCCTAAGCAGGGCATTGGACTAGAAGATCTCCAAGGTCCCTTCCAACTCTGTTATTCTATTCTATTTACAACTCTAAGATGCTTTAGCGAATTCTTTCAATAATTAGCAGGGTGAGGTTTACTAAACTGGGGGCGTTTTGACCACATAAGAACATTCAGTCCTATAAAGATGCTCCCAAACCATCACCAGAGGTTTTTAAAAAGAGATTGGACAACCATTTGTCTGAAGTGGTGTAGGATTTCCTGCCGAAGCAGGGGGTTGGGCTAGAAGACCTCCAAGGTCCCTTCCAACTCTGTTATTCTATTCTATTTACAACTCTAAGATGCTTTAGCGAATTCTTTCAATAATTAGCAGGGTGAGGTTTACTAAACTGGGGGCGTTTTGACCACATAAGAACATTCAGTCCTATAAAGATGCTCCCAAACCATCACCAGAGGTTTTTAAAAAGAGATTGGACAACCATTTGTCTGAAGTGGTGTAGGATTTCCTGCCGAAGCAGGGGGTTGGGCTAGAAGACCTCCAAGGTCCCTTCCAGCTCCGTTATTCTGTTTTGTTCTGAGGTTGGTTCTCTCCTTGATTAGTTGCCACCCATTTGCCTCCTGTTCTGCCTACAGTTCAGTTGCTTTGGAAAATACCATGTATTCTTTATTTATTCTGAAGATATATCTGCTATCTTTGCAACCAAAGCGTATCTTGGATCCAATGGATAAGCCCATATTTAATAATATTTTTAATGTGTTGCCCAGTCTACCACCACTTGTTTAAAAACACCAATTTTTTTTTATTCTCACTGTGCAGTCTTCCAGCTGGAGGTGAAGACTATGGTCTCCAGGTCTATAATTAGCTGTAATTTCAGCAGACTGCCAAACTTCCTCAGCATCGGGGATCCAAACTCTGTTGTACTACAAGAAAAGGGGAAAAAAATACAAACATCATAGAGTGTTTGGTGGCTTAATTCTTAACAGATTGGATGAGTTCTTCATTTTGTTCTCAAATAAACAAGCTAAAACCAAAAATATATAAGCGTAGCGTCAGCAAAAATGGAAACAGCAAACGCCGCCTGCCGTAATGCATAGTTGCAGCTGTTACGTTTGCTTTTAAGAATCTTGTTGCAGTGAGTTCCAAAGGAAAATGAAGCAGAATTTTCAAGGCTGCAAAAAGCAGATATTCTTTTTTTTTTTTTTTAAATTGTACATTTTCCTTTATTCTACATCACAATTTCAATTTTGCAACATCCGTATACTGGTTGTTATCAAATCCTTTTTAAATATACATGATGTTATACCCCCTAATTGTGGTCCATTTTCTCTTAGTCACATAGTATAGTCTCTTTTTAAATACATAATATTGTAGATCATAATTGTATCCATAGTTATAACATAACACACTATTCATTTTAATTTGCAGTTGTATATACTCCGATAATGATATTACTTGCAATATATATTCTTCTATATAGCTTTGTACCTGCATTTGGTTCTAGTGTGTTAACCTGCTTTCATTATCAACTTTCTAACTTCTGCATCTGTTATCTAGCCAATTATACCATAAGTTGAATAGCATTCTGTTTTTCCTCTCTCTTTAAGTTCCGTTGTTAACCAGTCCATTTCGGCACACTCTAATATTTTCTTTATTACCATTTCATCTGCAGGTATACTTCTGTTTTTCCAATTTTGTGCATATGTAATTCTCGCCGCTGTTATTACATGTAACATTAAATATATAATTCTTTTATTGTATTTTCCCGGTAGTATGCCTAATAAGAATAATTCTGGTTTTTGGTCTATTTGTTGTGATATCATCTTATCTAACCATCCTTTTATCTTTAACCAATATTTTTTTAGCCGATGGACAGGTTCACCAGATATGATAATAAGATCCCTGTGTATAAAACATTTTTTTTTTTAATGGGATTAAAAAAAAATGTTGTTTTCCTACTGTGAGAAATTTGGTATTGACATCCATTAATTGAAGTGGGATAGAGACAGGGGTGAAATCCAGCAGGTTCTGACAGGTTCTGGAGAACCAGTAGCGGAAATTTTGAATAGTTTGGAGAACTGGCAAATGCCACCTCTGGCTGGCCCCGCCCTCATCTATTCTCTGCCTCTCAAATCCCAGCTGATCAGGAGGAAATGGGGGATTTTGCAGTATCCTTTCCCTGGAGTGGGGAGGAAATGGGGATTTTGTAGTATTCTTCCCCTGCCACGCCCCCCCCAAGCCACACCACGCCCCCCAAATCACGCCCACAGAACCGGTAGTAAAAAAAAATTGAATTTCACCACTGGATAGAGATATGCGTCTGTAAGATTAACTTTTAAACATTTAAGTTTGGAAACTTATAATATCCTATTATGAAAGGTATCTCTTTATTGGGAGAGATACGGTATCTTTGCACAAATGGCACCTTTGGAATTGGGCACAAAATAAGTTTTTGAGCTGAAACATTGCAATGCACCTGGGTACTTGAGAGACCGCCTGCTGCCAATTACCTCCAATAGACCGATCAGATCCCACAGATTAGGCCTCCTCCGAATTNGTGTGTGTGTGTGTGTGTGTGTGTGTGTGTGTGTGTGTGTGTGTGTGTGTGTAACCTTGGCCTCTTGTGTTTATGTAACAAGTCCAGGCTAATTCCCTGCTTGACCCCTCCTCCCAGCTGAGACAAGTTGTTCTCCAACATTTCTATCCTCAGCTATAGAATCATGAGTGGGTTCCTCATATATCAAGCTAAGTAGCCAATTGTAAATCTGGACTTGCCCACCTTGAAAAGGGCGTCTTTGAGGCTCCGCAAAGTTGTGCCTAATTGTAGGTCCTTCGCTGAACTGAACCAGTCCAGCAAGACAACATAATCCACATGGACCCTCTCTTTCCATGGCTCCTTCGAAGGGTCGGGCAGTTTAGCTTCAATCCTGTTAGCTGTGACTCTGATGCCGTCCACAAATTTAGAAAACAAGAAAAACATGATTATTGTTGAAGGTAGAGTTGGCCAGGCATTGGACACAAGAGCCATGAATGCAGAAAGTCAAGAACATCCTTGACGTTCTGAATCAAGAAAGAACGGGTTTGCTTTACAACCGGGGGGGGTTCGCTTAATGACTGTAGTGGTTCTCTTTCACAACTGCCACAAATAAAGGTCGGGAAATCTGGTCGGTTGCATGGGTGACCTGCTTTATGACTGTTATGACTTACAACCATACTAAGAAGGCTCCATTTCGGTTGTAAGTCGAGAACTACCTGTACCACTATCTGTATCAGTGATGGTGAACCTTTTTGACACCGAGTGCCCAAACTGGAAACCCGAAGACCAGTTGGCCGGCGTGCACACGACTGTTTTTGGCCGTTTTTGGGGCTATTTTTCAGGCTGTTTTAAGGCCAATTTTTGGCCCATTTTCACACCAAAAACAGCCTAAAAGCGGCCTCCAAAATGGCCAGAAATGGCCTCTTTTTTGCCGTTTTTGGCTGTTTTCATGCTATTTTCCAGTGCTGGCGATGGTGTGCATGCCCACAGAGAGGGCTCTGCGTGCCACCTCTGGCACTCGTGCCATAGGTTTGCCATCACAGATCTATATGAACGCAACTGAAGAGTTTCTTTGGCATTCTGAATAGATGCATTTATTACTGCCAAAAGTTCCATAGGTTAATGAAGCGTTCTTTTAAAAAAAAAACACTTTTAAAACTACTATTTGTACTTTAAAACTTTAAGAGTGGCCAAGCAAATAAATGATCCCTGTTTACATTTCCTTTACCCTCTGCTTGATCCCTGGTAATCTATTTAGCATTCTGCAGCCTTAGGAGCCATCAGAAAAGTTTGTTACCTACCCAGGACTGATAGCTTCTTCTGGAACACAAACAGAATTTATAATGCAGGATTCCTGGTAATCTTTTAAGCACCGGGCATCCATGATCATAACCTTGATGCCTCTGTCCATCATCATTGTAAACAGCTTCTCGGCGGTGATTGTTCCTTTAAGAGACGGAAAAAATACAGAGATCTTATTGACTTTCTTTTTTTTTTAATCTCCTTTGTTTTAATATATTTTAGACTGTGTTTGTTAAAAAGCTACACCGTGTACGGGCTCTGGGAAGTCGG